AACTGATTAATTGTTAACTGAAAATCAGTTTGATTGCTGAACGACTTGGATTTTAATTTGATCTTCCAAAATGGTCAGTCAGAAAAGTAATCATTCTATTAACTGTAAAACGGTTTTCACTTTGCATTAATGATACATTTGCATAATAGGCAGCCTTTCCGAAGGAGAAATTGAGCATGGCCTTCTTGTGTTGACATGAAATAAATTTCCTTGTGATACACAGATAGAGACTCGCAATAACAAGCTGGAAATGCAGTCCGTAAATAATAAATCCTTGATTGAAGAACTTGATAAGCTCCTTGAAAGCTTGCGAATTCCTTCAGAGGTGTCCCCACATACTTTCATTCTGAATTTAAGGTATGCATTTAATTTTGTCACATTAGTTAGTCCCTATCTTTTCACAATGTGTTGTTTCTTGCAGTATGCAGCATGTCTAACAGGAGGCTCATTTGATGAAGCACGCATGCTTCAAAATATTGAAGCATGTGAGTGGTTAAATAGTGCTTTACGCGGCCTTGAAGTGCCCAACTTGGATCCTAGCTATGCAAACATGAGAGCAGTATGCGCCTGTCTTGTTTTGGTTCTCTTTCTGAAATTGCATAAACAGATTGTTAATATACTGCCTTAGACACATGAAAGGGTTTATTTGCATGTCACTCTAAGCATGGCATTAGATGACCTTATGTAATGACTGGAACACTGATTCAGCTGATTGATCTGATAAATACATAGTTACACTTTGTTACTCTTAAACCACATGCTTGCATTCATCACGTGCATGTGTGTGATAAGCACTAAACCAGAACATATGTGTGGCTGTGTTTGTTTTTCAGGGTATTTCTCTGTTTTATGCATAACTTTTACTTTTTTCAATGTGAATGGTAAGTATGAAACACANTTTTCAGGGTATTTCTCTGTTTTATGCATAACTTTTACTTTTTTCAATGTGAATGGTAAGTATGAAACACACACACACACACATGCTTCTATGTATTGAATGTCTGCATATCAAAATTTCTAAGAGATTGTGTGGATATAACTATAGTATGGCATACAATTGTGACTCAGTGGTAGTCAGATTTTGTTATCATGAGTGAACCAGAACCCAATTACTACCCTTTGCACCCTTTTCTGAGAATTTCTGTACAACAGATTAAGGATGTTTGGGTCATCCAAACCTTTGCAGATTCTAGAAATAACTGTATCAGTCAAACAGATTGCTGCATTTCATAATATTGAATGGTTTAACGGACTTGAACTTTTGTAAAAACACTAATCCACTTATTCATCAGTTGGATCAACCAATCCAATTTAGGTCCGATAACTATGCTCCTGTTGGACCTTTTTCAAACCCTGTGCATATCGGGTGTGATCTTCTTGTAGACTGTGCAATGTGTGTATCATAGCCACAGAAGCTGGATTGATCTTGATGTTGAAATGTCCTGAATTATGACATAAATTAGGGGTAATCGGTGCTTGAAGGCACGGTGGAATGTGAATAGTTTTGAGAGGGATGTGATAGTTGGATGAGTCTATTTGAGACCGTTGGATAGGCTTATTGAAACATGTCCTATTTTATATTATAGATTTGACACATAGTATCTTGCTCGGTATTTCTTTGTTTTGGGTCTTGGACGCAATTCCAAGAAGATTATCTTCGGCAATAAATGATATGCTTATGTAGTTTACTAGTGGGAGTGCCATACGATGCACGATTATCCAACCAACAATATAACTTATTATTAGGTTCAAGGATGTTAAAACTTGTTTAATGTAAAATACTTGACAAGAAAATATCTAAACATGTATAATGACCAGTGAAGAAAAGTAATCAAAGTTCCCATATAACCTCAAAAAAAGTCTTGAACCTGCCTGAAGAATTCTCTTGGTCCTGAGAACATAATGTATTTATGTTAGAGAGATGGAAGATGAGAGAGCAAAAGGGAAGGTTAGGAATGAAAAAGAGAGAATGGAAATTGGAGAAAGAGAATGAGTGGGAGGTTATGACAAACATGAAAAGTGGGTAGTGATGAGATTGAGTTGGAGTGGGTAGCTGCTTATGGGTTAGTGGAGGAATTTAAAAGAGATCTAGGTGCAAGGAGTTGATTTGAAGGAATCATGTTTGTTGAATTAAAAAAATTAATATTCTATTAAACAAGAAAATAAAGCGGGAAGGATTGTGAATCCCTCTCTCATCTAATTTTTTGGTTTATGTATATAGATAGATATGATTTAGCAGTGATCTATCTTTGTCGCTTTCCTTTTTTTTTTTCTCAAAATTTTATAGAAACATCTCTCTCTCCCTCCCTCTTGGTTTTATTGGAATTTATGCACATTGGCAATGTACTTTCTGTGGCTGCCAAACTGTCTGTTCCAGTAATTTAAATCAGGAGCCAGCTCGAATTTGCGGTGGCTGAGCTCTCAGTACTTCCCCTTGTTTTATTATGGACTATTGTGGTCTGGATTCTTGAATTGGCATTTTAACCTAAAAACCAATCAAGGGCTGCCTTCTTTAATAGTTACTCAATAAATCCTGAGAACCGAGTTGTTGCCATGGCAGTCGGTTGCCAATTTGCATGTGCGTATGCAAGATTTTTAGATATCTCGTCTTTCTAAGAGTGGTGGATGGAACATTTTCAGGTTAGAGAGAAACGGGCTGAGCTAGAGAAATTGAAAACTACTTTTGTTCGAAGAGCATCCGAGTTCTTGAGAAACTATTTTGCTAGTTTGGTGGATTTTATGATAAGTGACAAGAGTTACTTCTCTCAGGTACTTTCATGTGATGTTTCTTTATCCTTTATAATTGTCAGTTTTTGAGAATGAAAATCCCAACTTTTGCTGGTTTCTTGGATTAAACAGCGGGGACAATTGAAGAGGCCTGATCACGCGGATCTGCGGTATAAGTGCAGGACATATGCGCGCCTTTTGCAACACTTGAAGGTAAAAAGTGATAGAATTTGCAGTGATTGGTGATATTTATCATTACTCCATCTTCTTTACTTAATAATTTTCTGAAATTCAGTTTTCTTTTCTTGCATTTTCAGAGTCTTGACAAAAATTGCTTGGGCCCATTGAGGAAAGCTTACTGTGGCTCCCTTAATTTACTGTTACGCCGGGAGGTCAGGAGACAGTAAACCTTTGTACAATTCTGTTGCAGTTACTCGTCTTCTTATTTTCATGTTTGTATTAAATTTCATTTCTTGTTTGTCCTAGAATTGTGCTTAATGTATTATTCTGTTACAAGCTGGTGTTTGGTGTACATTGACCCTGGTTTTAAGTATCTATAATTTTATTCACATTATGGTGGGAAGGAGGGGAGGGAGAGAGTGACTCAAATCAAAGCACATTTTGTGTTCAAATTTGATAACATTCTGTGGAATAAAATAAGAGTGATCATCCAGGAATACTGGAATAACTATAATTTCAGTCTAATCATCACGCACACTCACGTCATCTTTTCCATGAACTCTAAATTCATATCCTTCAAACTTATTTTCTGTCTCCTTTGACCCCAATGAGGCCAAGAACAAAGTCAGTTGGGGCTGAAATTCACAAATAATATAATAGAATGAAACTTTAAATACCTTCTCTACCATTGTCCTTTTGTGTTGTGACTTATTCATTCTTCTTCTCCTGTTTCTTCCAATGTGCTCAAGATTTTTGTACCCTAAGGAATAATTTCGCTGAAAAGCTTTCTTTCATTTGGTTTTGTTCAAGCCATGGGCGGCCTTGTTCGGTTCAAGCTTTTAGCTTGGCAAGGGCTTCACGTAAACTGTTGGTATGCAAGCAGGATGCTTTCCTATGCATGCCTGACTACATCCACCTTGTCTTGGGTAACTTATAGTGCCAGCTATCGATTTGCTTGCCTTGGCACCTTGGCAGGCAACAAGACAGTAACTTAAATTCATGCTAAGTTTAATCTGAAAGCTCGTCTATCTGCCCCCATAACTATGGACAAAATATAACCAGAGGTTTTTATTGATTTGGATGGTTGAGAGTCCTTATAGGAGATGTAGATACAGGATAGATCATATTGCCATCCTGGACGATGCTACTGTCGCAAGTAATAGGCCCTATTGTTGGTGAGGGGCAATGCATCTTCTCTTAGGCGCAAATGCCTAAAAATCGTATCTTTCTTTTGCTTCAACTTTCAGACTCCAAAAGTTGTAAGTCTTCCATTGCTTTGTTGTTTGTGCAAGTCTTGTCTCCTATATATATATATATCAAACTGGATTTGGTATTTACTATTTATATATATAGTAAATAGTTTTTGCTGAATAAAGCAAAAACTGGTAATTGAACTAAAGTATTGGCCTGAATCGATCAAATTTGATGTAGCAATATATCTGCTGAATATAACAAACTCTGGTAATGGGATTAAAACTATTAGCCTGAATCAAGCAAATCTGGTTTAATGAGTGGTCTGATTTATTTATTTTACTCTCCCTCCCTCCCTCTCTCTCTCTCTCTCTCTCCCCTCACATGCACATATATGTACGAACACTTATTTAGTCTATCATTCTATGTGCCGGGGGATGGATTCTTCTTTGACATGTATATAGCCCCATCTAGGCNTATTTAGTCTATCACTCTATGTGCCGGGGGATGGATTCTTCTTTGACATGTATATAGCCCCATCTAGGCTACNGTCTATCATTCTATGTGCCGGGGGATGGATTCTTCTTTGACATGTATATAGCCCCATCTAGGCTACTTACACATGGATATATATCAATTGCATGATAAAAAAATTCAATGATCTGTTTATATGTTATAAAATTGAGTCTGGTAGACAATTCAAATTGGTTTTGGATGAGTATGGTGCCCATCTTTTTAATTTTCTGGTTGCATTTTAATTTGTGATACTATATGTACTTTAGGGGGATCCATAATTATGGCACCCAGTTGTGAAAATGTTATATTTTATTCTGAAATGTGGAATTTCTCAATGTTGTATTTCTGACAGTTTAAACATAGTGTTTGAATGTTCTCTTTGTCCTTTACAGGCGCGTGAATTCGCAAATGAGCTGCGTGCTAGTACCAAGGCTTCAAGAAATCCAACTGTCTGGCTTGAAGGTTCCACAGGTTCTAGTCAAAGTGTGAACAATGCAGATACTTCTACAGTTTCAGAGGCCTATGCCAAAATGCTTACAATATTTATCCCACTTCTTGTAGATGAGGTGACAACCCCAATTATCTACTCTTTCTTGTTGCTCCAATTGTGACTATTTTTTTCCCTTAATTAAAATTTTAGATCTTCCATTGTTCGAAATGCAGAGTTCCTTTTTTGCTCACTTCATGTGCTTTGAAGTTCCTGCACTTGTTCCTCCAGGAGGTCTGGCGAATGGCAACAAAAGTGCATCTAATGATGATGATGCCAATGATGATGACTTAGGCATCATGGACATTGATGACAATGACAACAAATCTGGTACTCCCTTTTCTAGTATTCTATGTTCTTGGTTAAACCTGTTAAAAGTTTATTCAGCCCTCTTTTTATAATTTTGTAGGTAAAAAGGCCATGGAGTTGGAGGCACTAAATGAATCACTTCATGATTTGCTTGATGGAATACAAGTAAGGATTTCTATATATCATTTAGAGTTTCACAAAAATTATAATTGTGGACTAAGATAATGGCAAAACATAGTTGAAGGGACATTTTATGATGGGTCCCACCAAATGACAAAAGTGTCTGCAATAAATATGATGGCACTCACCCCAAGGGGGCATAAAGAACTATACCTTTGCTAATTAAAATTTGAAAGTGCTAGTATGGGGTTGTCCCATCATTTCTCCTCTCTTGGTGATTTTGATTTTTGTTTCTTGTTGGAGATAGGTTCCGTATGTTCCATTACTTGATTATGTTGCTGGGTGATAGATGTGAGATAGTTTTTTGCAAGTGTGATTTCAAATTTTCTTCTTTCGGTGTTGAATTTTCAGGAGGACTTCTATGCTGTGGTTGATTGGGCATACAAGATTGATCCTTTGCGCTGCATATCAATGCATGGGATTACGGAACGCTATATATCTGGTCAGAAAGCTGATGCAGCAGGATTTGTGCGCATCTTGCTTGATGACCTGGAATCTAGAATTTCTGCGCAGTTTGGTCGTGTGAGTTATAGTCTTCTTGCTGAACAATTCTTGGCCTTTAACCTTCATCAGGCAAAATTCGTTCACAATTATAAACTATATTTCAGTTTGTAGAGGAAGCTTGTCACCAGATAGAAAGAAATGAGCGAAACATTCGACAAATGGGTGTCTTATCATATATACCAAGGTAAATTGGACCTGACAGGTTCATGCTTATGTAAATTGATATGCATATGATCTTTTCATATTTAGTTGATTGTTAGTTTGAAGCATTCCACATTTTGCTCGAGTTCCACAGTTGTCTCAAGGTCAAGTGTCAGACTTTTCTACTCCCTTTTTCTTTCTTTTTATAATTTAAGACAGGTGGGGGTGGGGAGATGATAGGCTTTCGGAGAAATACTGCAATTGGTCAGAAAACATAAACCTCACCTTACTCAGCTTGATTAGCTCTATGATTTGAATGGGGTTTCAGGTGGATTGGAATAGCTATTTAATCCTACCAATTCAATTGATTTTGACATCCCAGATTTAAGAAAAATGACTTTGTTGGAAGTGCATCTGTGGCCGAACCAGCTAATGATTAAATAAAAACTATTTAAAGAAAAAGCATCTATTGGTTCTTGGAGTGCTGGTAGAAGCTTAATTTGGAGAAATCAAATTATTTCGGTAATGACATGAATTGTGAAGATATTGCATTTGCCATGCTTTGCGGTAATGATTTGGAAACAGGAAACATTAGTATTATGAGTATATTTAATTCACTTTTGAATATGTTTGCCAAGTTAAATTGCACTATGCCAACTGTCTGGAGGATTTTTGCAAAAAGATATTTTAAACTATGTAAACTGCTTTTGGACTTATCTTCATTTGTAGGGCTCTTTATTTTTCAGTTAGTTGTAGATTGACAAGTTTGGCATGTGTAAACCCTTCCATGTGTGAGGAAATTTTTCAGGCAGTTTGCTTTATGCATATTCTATGAACGTCTGAACAAATTCCATTGCAAACCAGCTTTAGTATTAAAGTTTCTGTATGGGCCTTTATTGTTGGTTTATCCATCCACATACATACTTTAAAGTCTTGGTTATACATCATTGCAATAGGTTTATGTTACTTCTGCAGATTTGCAACCCTTGCAACCCGTATGGAGCAGTACATCCAGGGACAATCTAGGGATTTGGTTGATCAGGCATATACTAAATTTGTGAGTTACTTCCTCCCACAGGCATCATTTATTTGTTCCACCGCCCAACAATGTGGTATAATTTTGTAATGCTGACTACAGAGCGGCATAGCAAGCAGTTGTCAATTTGAATTGCCTTGTTTATTTTCTTGTTGTAATGGGAAGTACAGTAATTAACCAATTAAATTGATTCTAACACAGGCCTAAAAAGCTGTGCATTTGTCAAACTTCTGACGTGATTTTCTACCGGGGTATATAGGGATAGAAAATGTCATTGTCCTTCTAAAAGCTTTTGTAAGGAGTACATAGAACTTGTATCATGTGAAAATATAAAGGCAACGAAATCGAGTTGAGTGGGCTTTTGGAATATGTTGGTAGATTGAACAAACGTGTTAATAGTGTGTAATTCACCCATTTGGTAGAAGCCATGGAATGCACTAATTCTTTTGATTGGCCTATAGAATACGTTCCGAAGTGTTGCACAAAAAATCTTCTTGAAAACTGGCCCCATGCAATCCTGCTTGTCTTGAGATAATCTTCATAAACCTGCCCTTTTGCATTCCATATAAGTTTTGGTTGAGATATAGTATCTTCATGATTATCCTAATCTGCTACCGTCATGATCATTGTCGGTTCTACAGTAACAGTGAATTAATTTGCCTTGCCTGCAATAATCCCTTTTTAATTTTTTCACAACCAATTTAAGAGTGATTTTTCTTTATAGAATAAAAATAACAGCATTTCCAGCTGCCAGGACTTATGCTTTATATATATTATTTTCCTTTTCTTTTTTAAAAAATATCTCATTGAATTTTGAGTTAGCACCTTTTAAATTGTAAGTACACCAATTTTTTTTTTTAATATTTTGTCGGATTGTAGATTTCTTCTAGTTTATCCTTTATATGGTTTACACTAATTGTTTTGCAGGTTACCATAATGTTTGTGACATTGGAGAATATTGCTAAGGCAGACCCAAAATATGCTGATATTTTACTTCTAGAGAATTATGCTGCATTTCAGAATAGGTACATATAATGTATTAAAATACACATGTATTTAGCATATTTTATATGTTTCTAAGAGTTGATCACTATCATAGTTTCTTTTAGGGCATAGAAATTGTTACTCTACCATTATGACCTTCAACATGCTTATTAGAAGCAGTTGCATGCAGTCTGTATGACCTGGCAAATGTAGTTTCCACATTGGCGAAATTTTATCACCAAGCTAGTGAAGCTTATGAACAAGCTTGCACTCGCCATATCAGCATGATCATATATTATGTAAGTAGTCCAATTTTGGTCCTTTATATTTTCATTTCCTATTTGCCAAGTTTAGCAAATACCCCATTTAGATGTACTCTTCAACAGTTCAACCATATGTTTAAAGGTGCTTGTTTATATTATTTTTTCTTTGCAGCAATTTGAACGGCTTTTTCAGTTTGCTAAAAGAATTGAGGATATGATGTACACAATCACACCAGAAGAGGTTAGTGCCCAAGTGATGCATGACATATGCCTTATTGGCTGTTTTCACGTAATTATGAGTGGAACTATTCATTGGGTGCTGATTCTCATTATAGATGGGGATTCTGGTATTCTTGGTTTTTTATGGTTTAGTCAATATCAAAGTACTACACATGTTCTAGAATAAAGTCATCTGCATTATACAATATCTTAACCAGGACAAAAAATGATAACTTGGCTAGAAATTTGCTGCTCTTCTGATGAACTGACCATGTTTAAGACCACAGAAGCACAAATAATCAGCCTATGCTTCAATGGGGCTCATTTTAGGGGTTAAGGTTGAACCTTCAAGTTGTCATAATTGCCATAAGTGCTAATGTCTTTTATGTTTTTTTGTTATTGTGATTGGATGCTCATATTTCTGCATCTTTTAACCTACAATTTTTTTTTTTGATAAGAAACTAAATTTTATCAATAATCAAAGTAGAAGTTTNATGATGTACACAATCACACCAGAAGAGGTTAGTGCCCAAGTGATGCATGACATATGCCTTATTGGCTGTTTTCACGTAATTATGACTGGAACCATTCATTGGGTGCTGATTCTCATTATAGATGGGGATTCTGGTATTCTTGGTTTTTTATGGTTTAGTCAATATCAAAGTACTACACATGTTCTAGAATAAAGTCATCTACATTATACAATATCTTAACCAGGACAAAAAATGATAACTTGGCTAGAAATTTGCTGCTCTTCTGATGAACTGACCATGTTTAAGACCACAGAAGCACAAATAATCAGCCTATGCTTCAATGGGGCTCATTTTAGGGGTTAAGGTTGAACCTTCAAGTTGTCATAATTGCCATAAGTGCTAATGTCTTTTATGTTTTTTTGTTATTGTGATTGGATGCTCATATTTCTGCATCTTTTAACCTACAATTTTTTTTTTTGATAAGAAACTAAATTTTATCAATAATCAAAGTAGAAGTTTAAATAAGATGAAACAAATGTGGACAAGTTTAACTAGAAATGAAATGAAAACCAAACGGCATAAAACAATGCATGACACTACTAGGAGCAAAAAGCCTCATCAAATGTTGCACGACGCACTCCGGCCTTGAATAATACCTAAAAGAGGGGCATTCTCAAAATCCTTCGAAATCGAGGCCCAAAAAGAAGGCAAAAAATAGATGTGATACCATAATAAAAAATTCTCAAATTCCTTTCCAACCAAATAACTCACACTATAGCTAAGAAAGCACAGGCCTATAAAATAGAAACTCTCTCATCTCCTCCAAACGTCTTAATATCCATACAAAGCAAAGACGACATGAAGCGTGGGGATACCCAACAAACTCCTATCAATTCAAACAACTTATTCCGCAAAGATAAAGCCATTGGACAATGCAAAAATAAGTGATCAATACTATCACCATCACCTTTACCCACTGCACACCACTGTGGTATAAACAAATGCTCATTCTTCTTTTTTTGAAAGTACATCGTTAGTATTGATCTTACTGTGAGCAATTACTCATGCAAACGCCTGTACCTTTAAAGATAGTTTAGCCTTCCAAAACTTCAGTGACGAATAAAAAGAGAAGTGAAGAATCATCAATCAAAGCCTTATAGAATGATTTACAAGAAAAGGAAATAGAGAGATCGATGATGTTGTCTTTCGTCCAAGGATTTAGTATTCAAAGTAACTTTGTTGTGTACGGAAAGAAGTAACTCCAATTCGAAAAATTCCTTGTCATTTAGGTTTTTAGTAAAGCCAAAATTCCAAAAAAAGTGGGTAAGCATAATATCTAACCAAACAAATAATACAAGCATCATGATAACGAGATATCGGGGGACCAAACACAAAAAGGAAGACTTCCCAACCCAAATATCCTCCCAAAAATGAACTATCGCCCCTAACAAACTTTTTGAGAAAAACAAGATAATCCTTGCAAAACAAAACAAATTTTCAATTGTCTCGGAAACTTCTCTATCCACCCCCTAGAATCCCACTCATTGGTGTGTAAACCCTATTTACTTCTAATACCAAGGTGCCACAAAGAATCTTGTTTCAAAGGAAACCTCCTAATAACAAAATGTCATTAGTATTGAGTTTACCGTGAGACACTTTAGCTTTTCAAATCTTCGGTGAAGAGTAAAAGAGAAGAAGTGAAAAATCATGATTTACAAGAAAAGGAACCAAAGGGATCAATGATNTCCAAATATCCTCCCAAAAATGAACTATCGCCCCTAACAAACTTTTTGAGAAAAACAAGATAATCCTTGCAAAACCAAACAAATTTTCAATTGTCTCGGAAACTTCTCTATCCACCTAGAATCCCACTCATTGGTGTGTAAACCCTATTTACTTCTAATACCAAGGTGCCACAAAGAATCTTGTTTCAAAGGAAACCTCCTAATAACAAAATGTCATTAGTATTGAGTTTACCGTGAGACACTTTAGCTTTTCAAATCTTCGGTGAAGAGTAAAAGAGAAGAAGTGAAAAATCATGATTTACAAGAAAAGGAACCAAAGGGATCAATGATCCACCGTTTTCTATCCAAGGACTTAGGATTCGAAGTAGCTTTGTTGTGGTATGGTAAGAACACCAATTCCAAAGATTCCCTATGATTAAAGGCCTTTGGTAAAGCCAAAATCCCTAGAAAGTAAGTGAGCATAGTATCTAACCAAACAAATAATACAAGCATCATGATATCGAGATAGACAATAAAGTCGGGAAAACCAAAAGAAAAAGGAAGACTCACAATCTAAATATCCTCTTAAAAACGACCATTCTCCCAATTTCCCACAACAAATCTAACTTTTTGAGAAAAATAAGATAATCCTTGCGAAATAAATTTTCAAGTGTTTCCAAAGCTTCCTTTTTCAACCTCCCTAGAATCCCGCTCATTGGTCTATCATAATTTCTTCTAAAAACAGAAAGCCACAATGAATCTTGCTACAAAGAAAATCTCTAGTCATTTTCCAACTAAGACTACATTTGTATCCTACACATTTCTTGTTGAGAGACCACCTTTTTCTTTAGGCCTAGACACCACCTCCCACCTAATTAGGTGATCCTTTCTTCCCTCAGATTGCCTTCCCACAAAAAAATCTTTCATCATCCATTCAATCCTTCTAGCCAACCCTCCCAACAACAAAGCCTTCAACCAAATTATACCAAATCTTACCCCTCCCAACAACGAAGCCTTCCACCTAATTATACCCTCATCACAAGCCTACTCAAACCATCCACCACAAGTGTAAACAAAAAAGGAGTGGATAGATCCCCCACCTAAGTCCCCCAGAAACCTTAAACTTACCTTGGTTTGTCATTTAATATAACTGAAAAGCTCATTGATTGCAAACAACCCCTCATCCATTTATTCTATCTTTCTCCAAGTCCCTACCCTTACAAGACAAAATCCAAGCGATCCCAACCCACATGATCATTGGTCTNGTATGGTAAGAACACCAATTCCAAAGATTCCCTATGATTAAAGGCCTTTGGTAAAGCCAAAATCCCTAGAAAGTAAGTGAGCATAGTATCTAACCAAACAAATAATACAAGCATCATGATATCGAGATAGACAATAAAGTCGGGAAAACCAAAAGAAAAAGGAAGACTCACAATCTAAATATCCTCTTAAAAACGACCATTCTCCCAATTTCCCACAACAAATCTAACTTTTTGAGAAAAATAAGATAATCCTTGCGAAATAAATTTTCAAGTGTTTCCAAAGCTTCCTTTTTCAACCTCCCTAGAATCCCGCTCATTGGTCTATCATAATTTCTTCTAAAAACAGAAAGCCACAATGAATCTTGCTACAAAGAAAATCTCTAAAGTCATTTTCCAACTAAGACTACATTTGTATCCTACACATTTCTTGTTGAGAGACCACCTTTTTCTTTAGGCCTAGACACCACCTCCCACCTAATTAGGTGATCCTTTCTTCCCTCAGATTGCCGTCCCACAAAAAAATCTTTCATCATCCATTCAATCCTTCTAGCCAACCCTCCCAACAACAAAGCCTTCAACCAAATTATACCAAATCTTACCCCTCCCAACAACGAAGCCTTCCACCTAATTATACCCTCATCACAAGCCTACTCAAACCATCCACCACAAGTGTAAACAAAAAAGGAGTGGATAGATCCCCCACCTAAGTCCCCCAGAAACCTTAAACTTACCTTGGTTTGTCATTTAATATAACTGAAAAGCTCATTGATTGCAAACAACCCCTCATCCATTTATTCTATCTTTCTCCAAGTCCCTACCCTTACAAGACAAAATCCAAGCGATCCCAACCCACATGATCATTGGTCTTCTCGAAATCAATTTTAGAAAAAATTCCCTCTTTCTCATTAAATCTATATTCTTCAACTACCTCATTAGCCACAAGAGCCACATCCAAAATCTGCCACCCTTTAACAAAATCCCCTTGAAATTTAGATATTATCTTATCCAAATTCTCCACAAGATTGACCAATAAAACTTTAGCAACAACCTTGTAAGACTCGTTAGCAAGTTAATTGGCCTAAAATCTTCCAATTTCAAAAAGTTCTCCTTTTCTGGAATTAGAAAAATAAAAGTGGAGTTTGTTATTGCATTAACCCCACCATTTTTGGAAAAACTCCTCAAATGTGATATTTTTGTAGTATGACTTTGTACCTTGCGACTTCATATGGTTTGTCTACTAACTGCTCCAAAGGATTATTAAATGTTTATTGGCACAAACCTGTGCACCTAGGCGATAATTAGGACCAGTGCCTAGTTCTTTTTGTGTATCAATATTTTTTTTCCCCTTTTCGTTTTGTTTTCCCTACTTTTTTCTTTATTTTTCTCTTCCTATTGTTTTTGCCCTTTATCTGGGAGATTTACTGAGTGTAATACTTGCAGTATCATTCTTGCTTTATGTACTGCCATAGTTGGTGCTGTCACGTCATAGCCATGGTTTCCTTCGGAGGTATTAATAATTTATAAAGTTGCTACTTTTAAAGCTGATACCCTATCACCTTGTATATTTCAGATCCCATTCCAGCTTGGATTGTCAAAAATGGATCTTCCAAAGGTGGTGAAATCCAGTTTATCTGGGGTGAGTTGATCGATAACCTCCCAAATCTGCAGTGTTTAGTTCCAGAAATGCTTTTGGTATCTCAATATTTACTTGTACAGGTTGACAAGTCTATCAGTGTAATGTATAAGAAATTGCAGAAGAACTTAACCTCCGAGGAACTGCTGCCTTCGTTATGGGATAAATGCAAGGTATTTTGGGTCTTCCATATAACTTGTTTGCTGTTCATTTATGCTCAAGGTTTATCTTGAATGAAAAATGGCAATTTGAAAATTGTATTACTGTAATCTTCTTTCCCTATCACGAATACCTTGATTGAAAAAAGGCAAAAAGAAAACAAAGAAATGAGGGTGTTCAAATTTCCAATTATTTGCAAATTCAGACCATACTCTATCCTATCCAACTCTATTAATTGACTACCTAAAAGGATTAAATAGGCCAATGAAAGATATTTTAGTATACTGCAAAAAATTGGATAAAAATGTAAAATATCTACACAATTTTTGTATTCCTATCCTACTCTATCTAAAAATTTTAATATTTTATTAATGTTTATAACTTTCTTGTATTTTATTGTAATTATTTATGTATTATCGAATTTGTTGTGTTTTTTTTAGTGTTATTGACTTATTATGTTAGTTTATTGGTGCAAGTTAATTAAATTATTAANGATTAAATAGGCCAATGGAAGATATTTTAGTATACCGCAAAAAATTGGATAAAAATATAAAATATCTACACAATTTTTGTATTCCTATCCTACTCTATCTAAAAATTTTAATATTTTATTAATGTTTATAACTTTCCTGTTATATTTTATTGTAATTATTTATGTATTACCGAATTTGTTGTGTTTTCTTTAGTGTTATTGACTTATTATGTTAGTTTATTGGTGCAAGTTAATTAAATTATTAAAATAATTCAAAAATTAATAACTAAAAAATGTGTTCATCCAATTTTTCATTCAATTGTATTGGACAAAATTCAGATAAAAATAATACACTTAATCGGGTAAATTAGGCTATGAAAAATTGTTCCGTAAGATATTGAGTAAAAAGATGGTAAACTTTGTTTTCCCGGGAAGTGTACAGATTGGTATGGTAATAGTCANAATTTTTCATCATTCAATTGTATTGGATGAAATTCAGATAAAAATAATACACTTAATCGGGTAAATCAGGCCATGAAAAATTGTTCCGTAAGATATCGAGTAAAAAGATGGTAAACTTTGTTTTCCCGGGAAGTGTACAGATTGGTATGGTAATAGTCACTGATCTTTCGTGATGCTTATGAATAGATACCAAGTAGACTTCAATAATTTTTCTAGTATTCCGAATCTGATTGCAAGCTGTTTGAATAATTGACAGAAGGAGTTTCTGGACAAGTACGAAAGCTTTGCACAACTTGTTGCCAAGATTTACCCAACCGAGACCATCCCATCTGTAGCAGAAATGAGAGCACTTTTGGCATCCATGTAGAGATAGAGAGGCAGTTACTCTTGTAAATCTTCAATAGTTCTTTAGGTGTAGAGTTGCGTGACTTTTGGCATTGGGCATCCTGTAATTCGTTACCACTAAAATTTGTTGGAACGTGAACATGTGATCCATAATACGTGATAATCATAGATTATAACTTGAAGATATCCCAACAAATACATGTANCAGAGATAGAGAGGCAGTTACTCTTGTAAATCTTCAATAGTTCTTTGGGTGTAGAGTTGCGTGACTTTTGGCATTGGAGATCCTGTAATTCGTTACCACTAAAATTTGTTGGAACGTGAACATGTGATCCATAATACGTGATAATCATAGATTATAACTTGAAGATATCCCAACAAATACATGTATTTTGCGAAGGCCACATGAGCACCTTACGCCGAAGTTTACGGAACCTGCACATTAAAACATATTGAGAGAGAAGATTTGCCTTGGTTTTGATGGCCTTCAAGCAGTCAAAGTACAGCTCGACGAAAAAGATAAACAAAAGTTGAAGTACAGCACGGGGCAGAATTAATTAAAACAATATAGTGGCACAGTGAGTAAGGGCTTTTTAAGGACAAAAAAACAAGTAGAGGATTTTCATAATACTTACCATGTTAATACCATCCTATAAGGTGGTACCTCCACCATCTGACATGAGGGATGCTGCAGCAGCAGCGGCAGTAGGAACAACCCCTGTAGACACACCCGGTTTTGACAAATGGAGAAGCCTGGGGGAAAAAATCCNAAGGGCTTTTTAAGGAAAAAAAAACAAGTAGAGGATTTTCATAATACTTACCATGTTAATACCATCCTATAAGGTGGTACCTCCACCATCTGACATGAGGGATGCTGCAGCAGCAGCGGCAGTAGGAACAACCCCTGTAGACACACCCGGTTTTGACAAATGGAGAAGCCTGGGGGAAAAAATCCAAAACAAACTGTTGGTATTAATCACCAGATGGGAGTTGAGATGCCACCAAGTCTAAAACATGCATGACCAAGATCTCATTGATCCTCCAGTCCTACTCATGTTTATTACAATCAATCAGTTAGTGGCTCTCATGGAAGACAAATCTNAAAAAAATCCAGAACAAACTGTTGGTATTAATCACCAGATGGGAGTTGGGATGCCACCAAGTCTAAAACATGCATGACCAAGATCTCATTGATCCTCCAGTCCTACTCATGTTTATTACAATCAATCAGTTAGTGGCTCTCATGGAAGACAAATCTGTGAACTGCATCCGTCAAATTGCAAATTACATTGGATGATTATATACCCAAATCAGACATTTTCAAGGATCCATGGTATGTATGTCCACAGTGCTTAGATGTGTAGTGTGTGTCACTCTGGAAAATTTCCAGGCAAACAGATTACTAGCAAGTTTCAAGGTGTCTGCCAGTGAGATGCTAGACTCTACATGTAGAGCAAGTTCCCAGGTGCTGTGAAGAGTCTCTGACCACATTCATACAAGAAACAAGGTTTGCTATTCTGGTAGAGTCACATGTTATACCACACNATAGAGCAAGTTCCCAAACAAGGTTTGCTATTCTGGTAGAGTCACATGTTATACCACACACAATGTCTCAACNGTAGAGCAAGTTCCCAGGTGCTGTGAAGAGTCTCTGACCACATTCATACAAGAAACAAGGTTTGCTATTCTGGTAGAGTCACATGTTATACCACACACAATGTCTCAACCAGAACTTAAACCTTGTACCCATCTTGAGGTGAAAAGGAAACCCACTCAAGCCAGCAGCTAATGGCTCTAGGCATGGCTCTTACACTAATCGGCAATAAAACATTAAAAATTTCAGCCCTTACGGTGCAAGATATTCACAGAAAGATGACATTGCAGCAACAACTTCGGTGTAGTTTTCAGATGATGCAGGGGCTGTCACTTCAACCAGTTGAATGCCTGGGGTCACAGGCACTGCCTCATCGGTTGCATGCAGTTTGAGCATCTTATTAACTGAGGACACTGTAATGGTAATCTGAGCTCCTCTTTGAAAATGGAAGGCAAATCCCACTCTTAGCAGTTCATGATCTAACTTATAGCCAAGTGCATAAAACACGCGGAGCACATTCTTGCTTGCTTTGCTTTCTACCATGGTCCTCACCAGGACAGAAATTTGTTCAGCGCCGGCACCTCTCATTGCACCCCCCACATGTTTAACAGTCCTGCACGTTTAATATTCCATTACAAAAAGGAGCACGGTGCCAAACTTAATTTATCCTGCACAAGAACTCTATTCTCTACCAAGCGGGTTCAGGCTGCTCAAGATCGCATAAAAGTCGAACCTCTGAAGCTACAAGTCCTGAGAACAGGAGAGATCAAACCTTGTGTCAGCCAGATCACAACAGAACTAGACTTTTAGTAGATTTGTGTAACAAAGGGGACCAGACAATGTCCTCCAAAGACCATAAGAAGTAGCATAATTCTGTTAAAAAGGAAGCCATATTCACCATGTAAGTTTGTGATATAAATCCATGTGTAAATAGGATTACCCGTGTTATGACAGCAGTGAACAGTGAACATTAAAAGTACAATAGCAGTTGGATCAGGCAGAAGCGTTTAATAAAATACCAATTAAAGTGAACTACTACATCACAATGGGAAAATACTTGCATCAAACTATTATCAGGGTCTAATAGCACGCAGAGAGGGTGTAGTCATTTGCCATACACCGAAGTATTTTTGCACAAATTTTTCCTTGCCAAAAAATTCCATATTATGGCCCAATTATCACTTACCTAGGTTTGGTCCACTTTTTAAGCACATTTCATGGATCCTTAAACGTTCTCTATGAACACCACATAGACCTTGAAGAAGAATTTCAAGGGNTTTTTCATAAAAACGTGTTTAAAAAGGAACGGTTTTTTAAGGTATAATACCGGGTTAAATCACTTACCTAGGTTTGGTCCACTTTTTAAGCACATTTCATGGATCCTTAAACGTTCTCTATGAACACCACATAGACCTTGAAGAAGAATTTCAAGGGCTTCAACATGCTGCAAAAGGAAAGCAAAATATCAGAAAACCAGACCCACAACTCCCCCCAACAACCAACACACCAAACTCCCAATCAAGTATGCTCCCACCGTGGAGCTCTCCTGAGAGTTAAGATTAAAATTGATGATCATCAAATATAGACTGTACATGTAAAAGCATCTGTATTTAAAACCTTTCTCCTGCCATCCCAGACCTTGATTGTGACAGGGAGAAAAAGGCAAAAATAAGCACAGAACCATGCATCCAAGAGGGAGTCTGCAATAAGAACATCTTTATTTTGCAGTTATAGATACACATTGACACAATGAGTAAATGTTATATGCCATGTAAAAACTTGCAAATTTGGAACAAGGCAGTGAAAGGAAATAGCCCTTCAGGTTAAACAACATCCTCATTTAAATTGAGGTTTGTAAAATGTACAGAATAAGATTGCTCAGATTTTTTTTTCTTGGAACATAAGAGTTGCTTGAATTAAAGATAATTAGTTCACTCCAAATGGAAACATGCTTATCACCTATTTTAGAAAAAANGATTTTTTTTTCTTGGAACATAAGAGTTGCTTGAATTAAAGATAATTAGTTCACTTCAAATGGAAACATGCTTATCACCTATTTTAGAAAAAATCCGTTGCCCAAGGATTGGTTGATTATGTATTTTCTTATTGTATGAAACCCCATCCTTTCTGCAATTTGTCCCTAAGATGAATCTGGACACACACATTNTTGGTTGATTATGTATTTTCTTATTGCATGAAACCCCATCCTTTCTGCAATTTGTCCCTAAGATGAATCTGGACACACACAATTAATGACCACAGATATTGTAGTCAGTGGACTGCACAGGCCTTGTAGAAAAGAATTATAGTTTCTACAATCTGAATTTTTGCACTGAATGTGGACTTCAGTTCTGCTCTACTCTCTAACAAGTCTAAAGCTCTTCCACTCCTTCACATTGCTAAAACATCCCATTTCCTTTTCAAAGCTTCATAACTTGAAATGCTTTCTCAGTTGCTTCAGTAGCATAGGAAAAAATACAATGTATGGGTACAAAATCTAATGACCAAGATTATTTATAACTCAAGTATTAGTTTTTGAACTTGCCTGTGTCTCTACAATTCCTTGAACAACGCACTCCATTATGAAGATTCTATAATTATCTCCCAGCCGTTTACCTGTAAGATTAGCAATTAAAAAATTCAGAAGAAGTTTCAACTGAATTATACCATGGTATCTAAAGATAACAAACACAAGACCTTTAATCCGCATGCTATGAACCTACCAACCATCATATCAAAGGTTTTATACAACATTGTGCAAAATGTATATATTAAAAGAAATCCTAGAAAGTGTACAAAGGCATCTTGTTTATATAGGCCTGGATCCATTAAGGCCATAACTTGGTCACCTCTGTTGCACTTTCTATGTGCCCCCTCTATCATCAATAATCTTCGGCAATTATTTTTAGAAAATAAACATAAAAATGTCAGGAAAACTTTGCCAATACATTATATAAACCATGGTCAAAATTATGGGCATTAGTTCATTAAATTTTATTTGATAGCAACTATGAAAAAGGATTAGTTTTCTAGCTTTAAACTACAACAGTATAGCATGGTTCTGTAATGTTAACACATACATATATGTGCGTGTATCTACATGTAAATCAAAAAAATTATCACAACACAGATTCAACGATAATGTAGACTACATGAGAGGAAAAAATGGTACAACAGTACACATAACCTACATGAGAGGAAAAATGGTACAACAATAACCCCTCTTCTTGCTCTTATAACTACTTTAACCAAAAGAAGGCACCAAGTGCATTCCATTACCATCCTTTTCCCATAGGCAGCATGTTTTACCCACCCAAAAACTGCCACCTTATTAAACCATTCAACAATTTTATATCCATTCCATTCAAAATAACAACTTTTACAATATGAGAGGCCACATGAATGCAAATGTATGATAACCTGCAAACCCTATAATTTGTAACAGAGGACATTGGGCTCCAAGCCTTTTGAGTCAAAAACTGCCTCATTTCTCTCCCAGAGCATATAAAGAAATACAAATCATCAATCATCAAATTGTTGATGGCCATTGTGCCTGCCCAGACACAACCATTGGTTCATGGTGGCAAGCCTTATATGAATCGGTGATGTTACCAAGACAAACATCAAGACAGGAAACCAGGTAAGAGAATTAGGAAAAGTAGGCAAACAATCACATTACAAAGAATGCCTAACATTCCATGCCTCAACCTCCAAAGGTTTCCAAATTAAAGCTATAACTCCTAAGCAGCTACTCGATTTGTCGTCAGGGTTGAATGGAATGGATATATTGATCGGACTCGTCATCATATCAGTCATCACTGAGACACCCCCCACATTACACCAGATAGAGATTCGATGTTTCAATCGAAGAGAAAAGAAGAAAAACTGAATCAAATAAAAGGAGACATTGATTTCCTAAAACTGGATATGAAGCTTACCTAGGAACAGAAAAGACGAAGTAAAGAATAAAGACTAACGGAGAAATTTACAAAAGCTTTTTCACGAGCACTCAATTCATGAATCAATGCACGCGAAACGGACTCTCTGTCTATACGCTGGAGCAACGCCTGATTATATCAGAGTTGCACTGTTTTCAATTTTGGCTATCGGAACACGGCCTGGTAGATGAAGGAAAAGCATAGTAGAGAGAGAGAGAGAGAAATGGATCTGCGGACGTAGCAGAGAGGTCACAGGCAGAGAGCCCACCTAAGATGAATTAGGGTTGGGCTTCGTGTGTCAGAATTAGTAGGGTTGATGGTGGCGGCGACAAATTAGGGCTTGGGCTTCTTGCCCTGACTTAGGGTTGGGCTTCCTGTTGTATTTACACGGGGTAAAGTTCATTTAGGCCCCATAAATTTTGTAAAATGACACGAAAACGTAAATTGGAAATTTTAATTTTAAAGTAACTTTGACAACCTTAGCTAAACTTGATTATTACCTTGAACAAAATCAATTAACATTTATTTAATCAAATTGTACAAGTGAGAAGGGGCCAATCTTGCTATTTCAGATATTTTTTTAGTTGTAGTAATATTTAACCTTGATATAGGATACTCATCTATTATTCATTGTCAGAAAGAAGATAAAGTCATTTCATTTATCAAATGCCGAGGTGTTGTCATACTTTTTTTTTTTTTAACTCTACGGTCAGAAGTGTTCGAATTAACTTTCATACACTAAGACTAATCCTCTCTTCGGTCCAATTAAAGGTAAATCATCCACGCCAAAAAAAAATTTAAGAAATTTAGGAGAATAAAAAATTTATGAGAATAAATTTCTCATATTTTGAACCCAAGAAATTGTCAAGATTCAAAATCTTTTTAACAAAAAAATTTCTTACACGAGTTTATCTTTGTCTTATTCGTGTTATTCGGGCTAAACAGACCAATCCCTTTGTATACTATTAACATAATTTTGTTTTTGAGGCAGCTAATGGGATTGCTCCTTGTATATATCCCAATGATTTCTACACTAGCAGATGGCATCTGAGAATAAATTGAGAAGGAATAAGTACTATGTTTGAGATCCCCATAAATGCAAAACCGGCTGAGTGCTGAATTACAGATAACATCTGCACAAGAAAGTTAATAGCACACGAACGTCTAAGAACTCGCACCAAATCCGCAATATTCAATCCCGGCCACAAGTGCAAATCCTCGATGCAAAATATAATTGTAGGGGATTAATCCGCACCGGTATATCCTCCACCGAAGAATTCTGACCAACTTGGACCTCTTCCTAAGACAATTCAGTAACCTTTACCTCTCAGTCCCCCATGAGGATCTCGTCCCACATCGATTGAGAGTCGTCTTTTTCCCCACTTCTTGCATATAAGCCTACGTTTCATATAGAGGAGGTACCCACTAGCACTTGACTTATATGCCGGGGGGGGGGAGAAAGACAACTCTCAGTCAATGTGAGAGGAGCTCTTCATGAGCACTGAGAGGTAAAGGCTACTGGATTGTCCTAGGAAGGGGTCCATGCCAACCAGAATTCTTTCGGAGGAAGGCAATCCTTCAGTAGGTGAAGGATATCCCAGTGCGGATTAATCCCTTACAATAGTAAATAAAGATGCTGATAAAATCCCTGCAGAATTCCCCAACAATATAGAGCTTGACAAGTGGGTGCAACTCCTCTGTTGTGAGTAAAAGTATGTTGTTAATTAAAACGCGGGTGTTTTAGTTAGTTTTGCACAGGAAAACAAATCCCCCCAAAACAAGTTCTCAAAGTCTTAATCGGGAGATTCCCTCTACAAAACATGAAGGATTCTCTCTCTAAAAAGGTCTTTCCTCTAGTCTCAGTTGAGTCTATCGGTTATTATATCTTTTACTCCATTGTGCTACTACCGGAGAACTCATCCTCCTTCACCTTCACTGTTATACTATTGTATTTCATGTGGTTTCTCGATTATATCAACTATCAATCTTCAATATCAGTGGAGAAATAGGTTTCAATTCCTTCTTGTTTGGAGTCCCATTGAAGCAAAAAGAAGCAGGGTGTAAAATCAAGCTCCATGGTCAATACTCAATAATGGGGAAGCTCAGGTGTTGAAGCAGATGAGTAAAGGGCCTAACAAACACTGATGAATTGAATTTCAGTGATAGCCCATGTTGCTTCCAAATTCATGATCTTACTATTTGTAGTTTGACAATCAATGAAAATTATCCCTCCGTTCAAATTTATATGTAAATTTGGTATCAATAAATGACGAATTTAGACCCAAAGAGAAGTCTTTTCTCTGCATTCCCTTGCACAATCTCTCTGCACACTCAAGACCCATGATTATGTGTCTCTCTCTCTCTCTATAAAATTTTACTACAAATTTCTAGATAAAATCAAAATGGTGAGTGCCAACAACTAAGCGCCCAGTGAACAAGAACTACCATCCCTCATGCTTGCTTGATTTTCAGAAAAGAAACTTGAGGAAAGAGAGACATATCGCAGGTCTTGAATGTGTTATAGATGGAAATTGTGGGTGTTGATAAGGTTATAAATGATACAATACAAGACTTATTCAAATTTCATAGGGAGGGAATTTTATAGAAAGGCATTAGTAGTAAAATTATGAAAGAGAACAACAAAGAAATGGGTCCCAAATGTGCGGAGTTCGTGTAAAGAGGGCAGAGAAGGCACATGACACAGAAAACACAAATTGAAGTTCTTATGATTGTCGAATCCGGCTCCTCCACTTTTCTCTAAGAACAGCAGGATCTGCAGTTCCCTAAAACGGTAGCGTTTTGTAATATTTTTTTTTTTCTGCTTGTTGATGTTTTTTTTCACGATACAGGTGTAAAGTGGGTCCCAATGCTGTTCCTATTTTTATCCTTTCCTTTATTTTTATTGATTTCAATAGTCAAAGAAAGATCACACCACGTGGCATTCTACTGCACAAACACACAACAAAACCAAACTTTCATGCTCGGGTCCGGGTGGGTTACGCTGGGCAAGCCTGTTACTTACAACCAGAGCCGTCCGATCAGATTTGAATTTATTTTCGATTGAGCCGAATTTAAATCTGATTAAAATACTTTGATATGGATTTAATTCTTAATTTATAAAAACACAATAAATTCTTAATTAATCCAATTTTCATTTTCTTTGATCAAATGATAAAAATTCATCAAAAAAAAATTTCCTACTCAAAAACATTTTTTTTTTATGGTTTCCATAGTCAAATTATTCAATCAATACACTTTTCAATATCAAATAAAACCACTAAAAACCATAAGAGGTATCTCAAGGAGTAACAAAGACGAGCTATAAACACAAATATCCTAAGTAAAAATGTTGGTAATCTCTTAGCGCAAGACAATAAGAGATTTATCTCTATGAATATCCTAGTCTTTTCGTGGATGGTCAACTTTTAACCAAACCAAGNAGTTTAGCTGACCACATAAATATTCTAAATTAGTCTTTTATTGAAATTGACGGAGGCGAAATTTCCGTCTATTATTAGAATATTTTCCAATAAAAAAATGTTAATATTACATTAGTTGGATAAAAATCAGGGTTAACTTCTTTTAACCCCTATGATTTAACTATTAGCATTTCACCCCTTTAGAGTTAAAAATAACAAAATTGTCCTATGTGATTTTGTACTAGAATAAATCACTAGCACACCACAATTGACACTATGACATATAAAAAGAGTAAATATTCGTTGTAACGGTGATATCAACTCGTTAATGTCACATAATGCCATAATTCAATAGAAATATAATAAAATTAAT